CAATAAATAATGAAGAGTATATCTATACTCCGATTGATAAAGATGTCAAAGATGCTCTAATACGAAAGGATCCCCATGGTAACTGAAATTTTCCCATGATATATGATGCATCCACACAATCAACTTTTTGTATGTGGCAAATGATGTGTGGTTTGGCCCATGTTCACTTGACATATATAGCTCTCTAGTGACGTAATAATAACGCATACGTTACGCCAAGAATACTACGAAAGTTTTTCGTACTACAAAATTTTCATACTATTTTAATTAACTTTCATTCAATTTTGTCAAACGAAATTTAAGAAGTGAGCATAAACATAATTTAGGGGTGAAAATCTCTACTCTTTTCTTTGGGTTAGAACTCACATTTATTTTATTAAAAATAATGTGGAATCCATAAAATAAAAGAAATATATACAAATGAAATACGGATGTCGGCTCAACAACATTGGGAGTGAGGATTTAAACCTCCGATCTTTTGATCGATGATATATATTTTAATTAGTTGAGTATCCGTCTATGAATCTATATACTTTTTGCTTGATATGTTTTGTGATTTCTGTTAAAAGAAAATGAATAAGCTCCTAAAAATGTTAAATGCGCCCATGCAAGGCAGTGTGTATGCATGGGCTTTAGTTTCCTTGTTCTAGACCTTTTTTTTCTTTTCCTTTTTCTTAGGGGCTTCTCCTTAATTTTCTTCCAATCTTTGAATTATTTGACCTAAATTAGACCTTAAAATTCTTTTTTTTTTTTCTGTCAACTTTCTACGAATTTGAAAGATTTCCCATGGGATAATAATCGGTAAGGGACTGTTTAGTTGAAGGTTTAAAAATGTAGCTTGAAATTAAGATGCTCGGATTAAGTTGTCCGGGAATAATATGTTTTGGAATCAAAGATAACTGTGTTTGGTTGTATATATGTCTTGGATTAGGTGTCTAAGATTGAGATGTCTGAAAATAAATTATATATATGTTTATTTTGTGTTATTATTTTAGAAATATGCATTTTATGTCATTGTAAACATTGATTAATAATTAATCAAATTTAATTAAAAATAAATTATATAAATTTAATACTTTTAAGTTATAAATTATTTTATAGTAGCCTTCTAAATTTTAAGTTGATAATTAAGCATAATGATCAATTGAACAATTAATAGTAAATTACCTAAAATTCAATATATACATATTTAGAACTGATATCTGTGTATAAAGCTTTAGAATTAATCAAAATTAGTTTACATTAATTAATATATATTTATTAAGTTAAAATCTTAAAATTATTTTAAGCAATTATGTTTTAATTTAAGTTTTACTCCTGAGTAAATATATTATAAACAATATATCTAAATTTATTCGTTGATTTTATTTAGCAATCAATAATTATCGTAAAAGAAATGTGTTTAACAAAATTAATCATTTTCATTCTATCAATTGCATCAATCTATTACCTTTTTTTAGAAACAATTAAGAATATACTTTAATAAATTAATTTATTACAATAGAATAATTAATTTAGGTAAATTTTTAATGTTTTATTAATTATAAATTTTATTTAAATATTTTGACTAATTTTAATTAATTTATGTTAATAAAATAAAGTAAATAATTACATTTTTTAAAAAATAACTTGTTGAGAAAGAGAGATGAAAACCTGGCACAAAACCCATGGACAAATCCATGAAAATAGGAGGGCAAAGAAAACTCTTGTCTATGGGAATAAAGATGCCTGGGAATAGCCTTATTCCCAGGAAAAGTTTTCAAAAACCTGTCAAACAAACAAAAGTTTTACTTAACAATGTTCATTCTCGGTTAAGGATCCTACGTTGAAAAGAAAAGGAGATGTTGCATAGATTTATAATAGATATAGGCTACTCTTCTCATTGTCAATTGCTTTTGAGATAGAACCCCATGAATATGGTATCAGAGCTTAACAAGCTCAAATGAGCATCCGATCTAAAAATGGATCGGGTCAAGATTGATGAGCCAAAGATCCCAAATTGAAAAGAAAATAGACCTTGCATAGCTACCGAGAAATGCTTGCCTCAAGCTTTGAGTATAGAAAATTCCTACAACCTACAATGTGGTCTCTAATAACTTGACATATGTGTTATATATGTTTTTAAAAACATTAAAAATCAATCTAAAAATAATATTTGTCAAATCGAGCATAGTTCAAGTGGTTAAGACACCTATTTCTAACCAAAAGATCATGAGTTCCAATCCCCACTACACATGTTGTGCTCGAAAAAAAATCTAAAAATAATATCTCATTCATGGTGATGTCAAATTTCGAATATTGAAAAAGTTAAAAGGGCCGGGATAGAGAGATTTATTACACTAAATTTATACATGTTTTCGAACATGGGCTATATTGTATTCTACTGCAAACTTTGCTTTATCTCAAAACAAAACCTAAACCTCTTTGAAAATGCATTTTACATGGTTGCCACATCCTTTTCTCAATAGCATTGGCACGCCATGAAGCTACAAACCTAGTGTCCGACGATGACATTAGTCTTGCCCGGATAGTGTTAAGGATGCCATATTAAAAAGAAAATGGACTTTACAAAACTTTATAATAGAGCTCATGAATATTAATATGGTATCAGAACCTAGAAAAATAGCATCATTTCCAGAAATTGGAGCTGACTAAAATCAATGAGCCAAAAAGAGCCACAATCTTCAAAGGACATGTTAAGATCCCATATTGAAAAGAAAATTGACCTTATAAAGATTTATTATAGACATAGGCTACACCTCATAGAAAGGACAACGATATTCTCGAATATCTCTACACAATTGTTCGATATTGTCAAACCCTCATGGTTTTACTTTTGTTTTCACCCAAAAGGTCCTCTATATACCATGTTATCATCACATTCTCTAGTCAATGTGGAACTTTGTTTGCAGTCTTTGTCATCCTAATAATCCTCCCCTCAAACAAAATGACAATTGTATCTTGCCTAAAATAATCATGATAACGAGAGTCTACTCTTATCGAACACGTCTAGATAAAGCATTGCTACACAGATCACATTGTGGAAACCAAGTGTCGACGACCACTATCGCACCCTCAATCTCCTCCCCTCAAACAAAGCTATATCATTATTCCTATCAGTCTATCCAACTTGATAGATACATGTCTTGCTAGCTCACACTTAAGCAATTTGCCCGGGTGACTATAAGAGGCATTATTCCTATCAGTCTATCCAACCAATTGCAATTTTTGTCTGATTTGGAGATTCATCCACAATTTTCATAGTGACTATAAGACTCATAAATCATTATTATTCGACCTTTCGAGGATTTCCTCCACACAACTAGGTTCAGATCATTGCTCTAATACCACTTGTTAAGGACAACGGTACTCCCAAATATCTCCATAATTGTATGATATTGTCCACTTTTGGGCATAAGCTCTCATAGTTTTACTTTTTGTTTCACCCTAATAACCTCGAGATAATTGTCCTCACTTATATACTATAAATCACTCCCTAGCCAATGTGGAATTTTATTTACGATGCACCTTTGTGAGAACCTAATTAAAACGCCCATACACCTTCGTGAGAACCTCTTTATAGATTTCGATCGAGCTCAAATCGAGCCAAATTGATGACTAGGTTACATTCAAATAATTCAAAAACTGAATAGATTATAACTCCAATATAGTTCATTGATCATTTTGAGCTGGGTTAATTGAATTCCTTGAAAGTTTGAGATTTTTTGTACACATCATGAAACACTTAAATAGTATACTATATATCCACTCATCAAGAAAATAAATGAACAAAACAAAGTCGATTTTCTTAATGATTAAAATAATTTTTAAAAATATAAAATAGAAGAAGGAAATTAAGTGAAATAAAATGCTTTAGTAGGACGAAATATCAAAGACGCGTGAAAGTTGGGCTGTTTCTTAGAACAAACTTCACTTCACCACGTTCAAATTTGGCGCGTAAATGCCAGTTGTATATTATTATTTTTATTTTTATTTTTTGCTTAGGTGCGCGAAACGTGAATAAGCCTTTTCATTACAAAAAACCAAGAAACCACATCGCTAGCATTACTATTAAATAGCTGTCTTTTCCTTCAATACTCATAAATTTTCTTGTTTTGCTTAATATTTTAATTTATTATATATTTCCATTTACAATAATAATTATCAAGATTTCCTCCATTTACTTTTCCATCTCTACACTTTATTCCTTCCCATCTGGATATCTTCACATTTCCAATTTTAAAACAAAAAGAAAATCGTAATTGGGTAGCCTTATTTTCAAAAATATTTATAAAGATAATTATAAAATCTAAATACTATTTTGGTCCGCATGCTTTGACTTTGATCCAGCATTTTAATCCATTTTGGTTCTATCTACTTTCAAAATATCAATTTTAGCTCATACGATTTTATCTTTTATTCATTTTAATCAACCTACTTCCCTACACTTGAAAAAAGAAAAATAAAATTTTTTTCTTATTTATAAAATTTTAACATAAATTTTATATAAAGTGGAAACTCTTTATACAAATTTATTGTTACATGTAAAAAAATTAGTTAGTGAAGTGCCATGCTAAAATTTCGATCGAAATAAACTAGATGGAAATGAAAATGAGAATATCAAAATAGTAACTTTTAGAAAGCACAATGACAAAAATGAACCTTTAAAAAGTACCAGAACTAAAATGAACAAGTAGTTAGATATCATATTAATCAATTAAAATTCCATATTAATCAATTAAAATTTCTCTAATTCATCGATTTAAACTTCTGGATTCATTGTAAATTATTTCATTAGAGCAAGATTGGTAAATTATTTCATTAGAGCAAGAGATTCTGTGTTCAAATCCCTAATTCTATTTTAAGTCATTAAGCAGTTGAATGTTATAACCTTGAATAATTCAAACAACAAACAAGGAGATCAAGTATGCATAAAGAGTATAAAAAAATAAAAAAGAGTCACACAGAACTGTTAAAATGGGAAATTGAGAGTGAAAAGATTAAAAAAGATTGGCTGTATTAAAATTGATAGTGAATCTTCAAGGATTACAAAAGAGAAGTATGTACCTAATCTGAGTTTATCAGTTCAAAAACTTTGTGAAGACAAAGAAAGAATTCAACAAAAAGAATTTTGGGTGACAATGAGAAAGAAAATCCAATGGACTCTCAAGGGAATGTGAATGAACCTCCAATTTGATTAGTTCCTGATGGAGGACTGATGGCTACCCAAAGAAGAGAAATGGTGATTGCAATGAGCCCTGACCACACAAAAACAATGGTAGGTGTCCTCCCTCTTCTCCCCATCAGCCCTTTGGCAAAAGGGTAGAGATGAGCCAGTACCCAGAAACTGAAGAAAACGCCTCCGATCAACCGGCTCCACTGCGGTATAACGCTGTATATCGTTCGACTGAACCCGACCGCTATCGCGATTAAGTTGGTTATCATGATGGTGATTGGTGGTATCATTAAGGATGTCCATTTCACAACGTAGAGATCAGCAAACTCGTCGTCTACATCGTCACCTCCCGATTTCGATGTCAAGGTGAAGGATATTTCAATCCCAGCAATTACTTTTAGCAGACCCTGAAGTACAGCAGCCAGATGAGCACTTGTGCCACCAATCAGCCAAAACTGCTCATTCCTCCACCACTCTTCTAATTCGATACCAGACCATCGGATCTCGAGCACGGCAAGCATGCACAATGTGAGGGTGATCACCAGAAGGTATGTAAGAAATGTGACGTTAAGTGTTTGGACGATGAACTGGCCTGAAAAGAGGGAAAGTGCTGGTAGGAAGCAATAGACAATGAGGAAGATTGAAGTGAATGGGTAGATTCCAACGTTTAAGTAAGCTATTCTTTGTAAGAGTTTCATTCTTGGACTGGCAAGGATGGCATTGTTGCGGGAGAAGAAGATTTCAACTGACCCGGTAGCCCATCGAAGGACTTGATGGAGCCTATCGGTAAGGTTGATCGGAGCTGTCCCACGAAAGGCGTCTCGTTTGGTTACACAATAAACTGATTTCCATCCTCTATTATGCATTCTATATCCAGTGACCACATCTTCGGTAACAGATCCATAAATCCACCCGACACGGTTACCCCATTCGGTCTTATCTTCGTACCAACAAGAAATGACACTGATTGCCTCTGCAACCGTTGAAGCATCGAGAAGTTCACGAGGGATGGTGAGAGCACCCGGTGGGCGTCCGTGTTTTATTGCTGGGTGATCTGCCAAGGGACGGCCTTGATACTCTGCAACTGGGATTGAGTCAATAAGAAAAGTAGAATTCCCAAATCTTTTAGGGAACAAAGAGAGATTCATTTCCTCATCATCAGAATCACCCATTCTCAAAGCTCTGCTCTCTTCAGGGGTGCTTGCAACTGATGTGTGCTTCTTGCGCTGGCCGAAGCAGCAACTACAACAACCGGGGTGATGCTCTTTCGATCGGGGTGGATCGAACCCATATAGGGAAACCCTCCTAAAGAGACATCCCGTTCCGACGTACACTGGTCCTTGAAGCCCATCAAGAGCTCGCATGTTAACATCAAAGAAAACAGTATTGTGATTTGCATACCGATCAGAAGGATCAATGCCCTCGAATCTTTGAGGGAACTGGACATAGCAAAGGCGATCGCCTCCACGATCCATCATGAAGCACATTCCTTCTCTCATTGCCTGGGAGTTGTAGATATAGTGGTCACAATCAAGGTTGAGAATGAAGGGACCATTAGACATGATAGCTGAGGCTCGAACAAGAGCATTCATTGCTCCTGCCTTCTTGTTGTGATCGTAGCCTGGTCGTTTCTCTCGAGAAACATAAACAAGCAATGGAAGACGAATATCAACCTCAGAAAGGTCAATAAGTTTTTCATCTTCAACGGTTCCATGAAGAGGTTCGTCACTAGGTGGCTTCAACATCACCTACACCAATACACAATACACAAACATGATCGAAAGCACTCCCAAACATAGCTTTACATAATTTACGTGTTTTTAAGCAGTAATATTCGAGTGAATTCGGCCAAGTACCTGTATTATACCAGCATGGTCACCCTTTGAGTGCTCAGATGATGGTTGCAACCAAGTCCCTGGCCAATGGGTTCCATCAGCCATCCATGTTGCTTTAGGGATCTTCACACTCTCTATTGGTTCATCAGCACCAATGTTTTGTCTTTGAAGCTTCATAGCTTTGATCTCTTCTCTTGCATGATAAGCATCTGACCGACGCCGAATAGAATCTGGAAGTCCATTTATACGGACTTTAAACTCATCATACTCACGCTTGACTCGTCTACGGTCCTTGACGAAATCTGGCCGTACTTTGTTCTTGAAGGGGTCTCTCTTCAAGTTAAAATAAGACTCAGGATTGCGGGGTTCGATGTTATGCTTTCGGCAGAAAGGAACCCAAATATTAGCAAAGCTTGCAGCTTCAGCCATGGCCTCAAAAGTTAGAAGTGCACCTCCATCATCAGAAACATAACAGGCAAGTTTTTCAACTGGGTAGTCAGCAGCTAGAATGGAGAGGATAGTGTTTGCAGTTACAAGAGGCGGTTCCTTTTCGGGATCTGCGGTAGAAACAAACACATCTATGCCAGGGAGATCAGATTTCCCAGTAGGATTACTCGGGCTAGGCATTTCGAATTTCTCCTTCAACACATTAAGATCTGTAGCTCTATTTATAGGGCACAGCTTTGGCAGTTGATCAAGAAGCCAAGAAAAAGCAAACCAAAGTTCACAAACAATAGACATGGCCCAAAGCCAGTATGCATCAGTATTTGGATGACTCACCCTCCAGGCCAAAAATAACCCAAGAACGACCATCCGAACAACGATCAAAAGCCTGTAAACAACGATGTCCTTCTGGCATAAGATGTCATAAATCCAAAATTAAAGCACAACAATGACATAGCAACAACATACTATACTAGAATGTCACTGCCACTTAATCAATGGTACAACATACCTATATGGGCTCAAAATAGCAGCAGGAATTTTGAGTTTTCGTGTAAGTGGCCGCCATGGTTTATTCACAAACTCCATGGGCTCAACTTCATCGTTGTTCCCATTGGTGAAACCCTCGTCCTTGGGCCATATAGCATTCCCATAGCCATAAGTTCCCCTAGTTTCAAACAGCCACCTATTGTGATCAAATTCTCCAACCCCAGTTTGGCTTCTCATTAATCCAGATTTAGTTGACTTCATCAATGACAATCTTCTCTCCATCTTTGACATTGTAACTGGTGGAGGAAGTGGAAGAGGTCTTCCATGTTCAACAGCCACTTCATCTAGATCCGTGTTCTTATACGGCTCTTTGCAACCCGGGCAAATTCCACCCCCTGTTTTAACTGCATCGACATAGCAATCTCGACATATCTTGAAATCACACTCACAAGGGAGAATGTCATTTCCACGTTCATCACTCATAACCTTTGCATCACACCCAGGTATAGAACACGAAGATCCTTTCGTACCAGCCATTTGGGGATGTGTTGCTTCGGATTCAATCACTTTGTCCATCAAATGAGCTCGTGTGACGCTGTTGAACCCACCCGTAAACAGCGAATTTGAGACGTATTGCTCTTCAACCTTCTGTGAGATTGAGGGATCCATTGGTTGATTATCAGGTGTGGGAGGAATGTGCACAGTATAGTTCATAAAGTCACCACTCCCAAGTTCACTATCAAGGTCATCCCTCGAGTAGCTAATATAGCGACCTGAGGAAGTTCTCCGCCCAAACGTCACAGTTGGTGGAAGTGGGGGCTTCTGTGCCTCAGATGCATCAGAAGCTGTTGACAAACTTGAATGGGTCGGTTTGAAAGATTTTGATGCCATAATCAAACTTAGTACAAGTTATTGAGTTCTATCCAGCAACTGCAGAACAAAGAGACAGAACTCTATTACATTTTATCATAAACTCTCAACACAAAAACTAGTAAAAAAAAAAAAATCCCCAATTGCCAAAGGTAAATAATGATTCATAATGCACTGTTTGGATCAACTGAGATGGATTGTTTTATCAGGCTCAGGCAAGTGAAATCTTGACTGCATAAAAAATCGTGACACAAGAAAGGATCTAACATTTCTAGTCTTAACAATCTGATGCATTTTCCTGCAACCAAACAGAACCTGAAAATCTTTGAAGTCCATGCTAAGTCAAAATCCCAGAACTAATACATGCAACAGATCATCAATACACTTGAAAACCTCTATAGAATAAGAGAAACAGAGTTCTCCAAAAACACAAAATCATTCATTCAACCAAGAAAAACAGAGCTATCAGTTCCCAAATGAACCAAGCAACGTACCCAAAATTCAAAATAGTGTGAAGAACATTCAAAATCATATATACCGAAACACCCTTCAAATCATCCTTTTTTGGGTAGCCGAAAAGAAGATGGATCAAAGAATATTTTTCAGAGAAAAACCACTAACATAAAATAAAATGCACGTCTCCCCAAGCAAACAACAATCTCTCTGCCCCAAACAATCGGACAATGTCCTAACAAGAAACATAAGTTTAAGAACTTTTGAACATACCTCCTCCTTCAAGACCAGAAAAATCCCAGTTCAGAGCAGCCTAAAAATGGTTGAAAACGATGGAACTCAACGCCCTAGCCTCTGCTACATTGAGAGAGGACAAGAAAATGGCGTAGAAGAGAGAGAGAATGAGGGTCGATCGTGAGGAGGACTATGAGCACTAATAGAGCATGATTGAACGGGAAAAAAGAAGAAAAATAAGACTTAGTCGTGACTCGTGGGGAAGATTAACAGCACTAATTGACCATGATTGGAGCTGCCCTTGAATTATTCCATTCCCAAATTTTATATACACAAAAAAAAAAAAAGAAAACAAGTCCCAAAAACCAGAAGGAACTGAAGCTTCAGCCTTCAGGTGGGCTATTTCTTAACAGTTCATATCTCAGCAACCGATGCTCTGTTTTCCCACTAAGAAACAGCTATGGCCGCTGAGATTGATTCAGATTTGACCCATATGGATTTCGTATTGGATATTAAATTCGAGAGTGAAGCAAATGAAGGGAATGGAAAAAGTCTGGAGCTTTGCGTGTCAATGGTAGGTTTAAGCGCGGTGTGGACAGCATGGAGAGAAAAGTGGACTTTTTACTACGCGGAGAGAGAGAGAGAGAGAGGGAAAATGATGGATTGGATTCGGTAAAATGCAAATATACAAGGCAACCAGCGTTTTACAATTTTATTTTTTTCCATTTTCGATTAGCAATTTTAATGTCACTTTGTCTATTTCCTATTTTAGTTTATATTTGTTACCCAAAAGATTTTTTTTATTCACTCCATTTGAGATATATATCAATTACCTGAGTTATGACTACACAAAAGAAATTTTAAACAATATTTTTACCCTCGAATTATATATATATATATTTAGTACATAAATTGCGGAGATGGAAATCTAACCCCGACTTCAAAGAAAGAAGTAAAGTGCTTTAATCGCTTAACTATATATATATATATTTTAACATTCTCAAAATGATATAGAAATTTTAAAAACAACCCAAACAAGTTTTTCTTTTTTATTCTCATTTTCAATTTGTTCCAAAGCATAAATAAAAAGATGGTTTTATCATACTTGAATTTATGGATGTTGGAGTTTTTCAATTCATTTTTCTTTATTAAAAACAAAGAAACAAAAACATTACTAAAACAAGCATTTGTATACTTATTTGGTTTTGATTCTTTTAAGATTACAATAGGTTATTTTAAAATGTCATATTGTCATGGGTATAAATCTTCTACTTACACGTTGTACTAAAAAAATAAAAATTGAGTAATTTATTTTAGTTGCTCAATTTTTAATTATTATATTTTAGTCTTCAAAATTGGTATAAAAAATAATATTTTAGTTTTTTTAGTACGACATGTAGGGTGAATGATCGAACTTACAGTCTCTTAGTTGGAGATATATATCAATTACCGATGAATTATGCTTTTGACAAAAATTAATATTTTAGTTATTGTCATTGATTTTCATGAACTATTTTTGAAAAGAATCTATACGTACATTGAACCCAAGGAATTGATATGCTACATGTGTGGCCTCATATATACTTATTCATGTAAACATCTACTCATCAATTAAGTAAATAAAAAAAATGCACACTTGGCATCAACTAAACTAAATGGTAGTTTAACAAAATAAAGGACAATAACTTAAATAAATTTTTATGCCAAGTTTAGATATTAAAACAACATATTTGAGAGTTAAAAAGGCCAAAATAGAATTACTACTCAAGTTCAAAATCAAAGTAAGATTTAAAACATTAAAAAAAAACCCAAAAAATTATCTAATAATTAAAGTATACACTTGCTCAAAATAAATAAACACAAGTATCCATTTAAAGTTGAATTTGTCTAATAAATTATTTATGGTCCATTTCATCTTGATATTATGAATAATTTCAAATTAATTAAGATTTTGTGGGATGAAGTTTTTGTTTTTGTTTCTTAAAAATTAAATTTGTTTACCGCACCACAAGATTACGAGTTTGAACCTCCTCCAATCACACATTTCATTACATCATTATATTTTTCAAGTTTTAACAAAATTTAAAAAAAAAATACATATTTTATGAACTACTTTTTAAGGCATATTTTTGATTGAGGGGATATATCTTAAGTTGAGACAGGTTGAAATTATTCAAATTTTATTCTTTATTTTGCATTTTTTTCATATATTTAAGTACGTGACTGTTTTATATACTTTATTTTCAATTTTAAGATTTTAAAATTGCATGTAATTTTTTGTAATAAAATATAGGTATTTAATAACAAGTTTATGTTTTTTAAAAATTTATTTTTGTGACGTATGGCACACTCATACATTGTTTGATGAACCCATCAACTTCGCATAAAAAATACATTGATGTAGAATATTCACTAAGTTTCTTTCTAACTTGTCTATCTAAATTACACTTGCAACCCTAATTTTTCCATTGCATTTTCTAGATTTGCAATATCGTGACCTTTGTACTGTACTGTCACATATTCAACTTTTTAAATTAATTTCCTATCCTTATTAAGGAGCTCTTCAATGAATATAGTTCAACGGACTAAGACACATATCTTCAAAAAGATCGTGAGTTCGAATCCCCCCTCACTTATTGTACTGAAAAAAAAAAAAGTCTTAACATAGCTTACAACTAGTATTTAGATTTGAAACAAATTTTTAGAACTTGCAATTTTTAATTTGTCATCATTCCCCATCCTCATAGTACTAAAATTTATTTTTGCAAGGATGAAATGAAAATTCATATTAGATATGTTACGCACAGACCAACTATCCAAATCGATTTTTGAGTCACTCTTTGGATTATGTTAATTAAAAGGCTACTAATATATACATGTGTATTGTGTAAGATATTTGAATTGAGATGTAAAAGTCTATTTTAATAAGCTTACTCTTCCTAATTAGTAAATATCACGTACGAAATCCTATTTAATAGCGGACTTTTCTATATCAACAAAATCTACCATACATATAAAGGATGACAAAGAATCATTAACTTACCATCAAAAGTTACCGTTATACAAAAATGACTATTTACAAGTTCCATAGATCAAATTTAATAACCTAAACAATCTTAGTGTTTATTAATATTCATGGGTTCTGCCATAAAACTAGACAATAAGAGGGTAGTTCATGTTTATTATAAACCATTCTAAGATTCATTTTCTTTTCAATGTGAGATCCTTAACCATGTTTAATGTTTTGCATTTGTTTTTTTTTTTTTTTTGACAAAATTAACTTCTTGGATTTAGATTCACACCTATGTTAATTCAATTTTTACGGGATGTTTAAATGTCAAATTATTATTATTGTGTACTATGAAAAATAAATGATTATTGAGGAAAGAAAAAAAAGAATGGGGACAAGGAAAAGTGAATGGGAGGCATGATTTGATGACTAGGAACCGAAAAACATGCAATTAAAATATTATTATTTAAAAAAAATGGAAACAGAGGGCGAAAGAATGTGACTGTCAGGAAACGCGTCGATCCGGTTATTTATTAATTATTATTATTATTATTTGCAAAAGAATTATTATTATGATTATTATTTATCAAACGTGGATTCGATTGAGCTGTGTGAAATTGTGAATGCAAGCTGTTTTGTTGCGAAAAACTTGGCTTGGATTTCAATTAATTTTTTTTTCGGGTTTAAAATGTAGAATACAAAAATAATAATTTAGATAAAATATTACAAAAGCAACCATAAAAATAATAATTTTGATAAATTAAAAGATAATATAATATAGAGAGAAAATTAGTTTGGTTTCTCAACATATACCATGAAGTCGCTTCACAAAATAAGATTAATAATAAAAATTAGTACACACTTAYAATTAATATCGACTTATGCATACAAAATAAGATTAATAATAAAAAATTAGTATAAACTTACAATTAATATTGACTTATGCATAAAAGAACGTTCTTATTAATTCTTATTAAATCATGTCGTAATACTTGATCAACTTCTACTTTAATTGAATTTTTTCAAAAACAAACTCCTTTAGTTTTATAAATCACCGTTTGAACTCTCTTAAATATTAAGAAAATTACTATGGAGTTAATATATATATAAAATGACTCTCTTGCACTATTATCCTCAAATTACCATCCATTAATATCATCTTATTACATTTATTATTTATTTTTAAAATATATTATTTCCTAAGTGAATTAATTACAAGTCATTACACTGTCACAAGTAATAATAAAGAAAAAATATTTCAAGTTCTTCGAAGACTAATTTCTTTTGAAAATATTTGCAATTCATCTGTGTGAACCGTCAGTTTCAGGTAGAACAACTATTTTTGAGAGTTGTGAAAAATAAGACTCAACTCAACAAAAGCAATTTATTGAAAACTATACACCTCTACTATGACTTAGCTTCGAAAAGTAATATACAACCACCCAAGTGCACCTGCATTTATTTTTGCAGGCTGAGTAGAACTCCTATTTGAAATCGGTAGTTATTTATGAGTTTAGACTAACTTTTACATATATCTATAAAACGTTAGAATTTTAAGAGTTCAGACGGCTTCGGTAGAGATCCATCAATAAACCTATAGAGTTTAAGAGACTTGAGAATGGAGGTCGGTCAAGCTCCAGAAAACGGAAGATTAACGTGCGGTACGCTACGCCCGACAACTCATCGAAAATTTTTAAGGGCAAATTTAAGAACTTTTACGAAAAGTTGTAAAAAGTTTTAGATAGGTTCAATGACACAAAATTAAGTTTAATAGAAAAAAGTAGAAGTTTTGAAGAGAGAAAAAAAGTTAAAACAAAGTTTTACAAAGGAGGAAATTCTGTGCATAAAAAAAAATTATATAAATGGAGAAAAGTTCCAGCAAAAACATTTAAAGCAAAATAATTAGAAAATGATGATTTTTTTCTTTTTAAATGTTTGAAAGAGGAAGATGAAAATAAAAATTTTTGAGATAAAGTTAAAAGTAGGAAAACACTTTAGAGAGAAAAATGAATATGAAATCTAAATCAATTTTGTGAGGAAAAAGTTAGAAAGATAGAGACACAGAATAAAACCTTAATCAGAAGCTTTTGAAGAGTCTAAAAAATTAGAAAGAGAGAAAAAAAGCGTAGAAAATGAAAAACACGATAATTTTATAGAAAAAGTTAAGAGGGAGATGAAAATGAAAAGAAAGTTAAAAGGTGGAGAACATTTTAGAGAGAAGAAAAGATATGAAACGAAATCAATTTTGCAACAAAAAAGTTAGTAGGATGGAGAAACGAAAATAAAAATCTTAGAGAGTCTAAAATTTGAGAGAGCATTGAGAATATATATATATATATATATATTGTTGATGTAATTTATGGTAAGCTGGTCGGATCCGGGGTCGGTGAATCGAATCGACTGCCGAGTGACCAATGAGAGGTTGGGTCTAGTTAGGAGAAGCCAAGATCTGGTAGGTTGTGAGCAGGAGAAGGATTAGATCTTGTCGTTTGGGAGTTGAGCCGAAAGCGCCCTGCAAA